ATAAAAAGCTTGAATTTCAAACTCCAAATGCAGTCTAACGTACATGCAACAAAGTAACTTTATGAGATATTTGTTTTTGTACTTAAAAGTGTTATTTAAATTGCAAGCATTCTATTAGCTTTATTGGAAGCATTTTTTACTTGTCTTTTAATAGGAGTAATTTATTCTATTTCTTTCAGTTTGCTATCATTCAAGGAAATTCAACCCCAGTTTCCATTCAAACAACATTTATCTAGATTTTTTACGTCATTTTGAAATAGTTACGACTTAAACTCAGAAAAAATAGATAGTTAGACAATAATTTAATTGTCATCGGCTAGAAAACAACATTTATTAATAAATCTAGGTAATTCGCAAGGTAATTCGTTTACAAATATCAAGTAATGGAGTGTACCTATCACAAAACACTGTGGTACCCCACTAAAAACACCAAACGAATCTGTTTTGTATTCTCTCATAACCACTTATCGCTTTCAATCCATTTAAAAGGAATACCATAAATATAAATTATAGTGCATAATTTTATGTGCGATACTCTGTCGAATGCTTTCTGAAAGTCGGTATTAAAAAACAAAATCATTTAAAATTCTTTCATAATTCAAGAAGAAGATAAGGCTCTTTGAAAACAAAGATGATAATAATTCTCAAAAGGGGATGAACAATTTGGCTAAATAATAATTGATACTTAAGTCCAAATTCTGTATATCGACATTCTATTTTTTGCCACAAATGCTTGATTACTCATGAACACCAAGGAACAAAGACTAATTTTTATCAATGCAATTATTATTAATTATCTTTCTTGTATTCATAAAATATTGTGATACCGAAAATTTTACACCATTTTATAATTAATATAATCAGATAATGTTATCATTAACTCTTTTTTACGTTTTATAAATAACTATGGTTTTAGTCGGTATTTTTATCAACATATTCGCAAAAATAACATCTTAGATTTCATTTTGAGCACTTCTTCTACAATTTCTTTGTATCAAACCATTGGAACTAGTGATCTTTGTGTAATTTTATTTTGAGCTTTTATTTTTAAAACATGTAATAATATTGAGGTTTGCTAGCTAACCTTCACTTTTATACTAAATAACATTGTTATACAATTTGTACCTATAGCTCACATCAAAAATGACCATAAATAAACACATAAAATACACTACCCCCGTTTTGCAAAAAGTTAAATAAACGACAAATCAAATGCTTGAAAGAGATTAAAAATATCAGGTTAATCTGACAACAAAACGGCTTATGGATCAACCGCCTCAAAATATTATTTTGCCATTAAACATATCATGCAACAAAAGAACTAAAGATGATATTTAAAAACAATATTGGTTGTTTGTTTAATTTTGTAAATGATAAACTTAAAACGAATTGTAAACTACTGAAAATCATCAATATATCTGGTATTTTTAATAACTTTTTTGCAAGTGTTTATTCCGTTGATAACGGTTCATCACCAAGGTTAATGGAACGTGTTTATGTAAGTTCAACTTTTCTGTCATCGATAAACTTCTTTTTATCTACTGTAGAAGGAGCATTAAGATCAGTTAAACCTACAACATCTATTGATCAAGATGGAATTTCAAATATTCTGTTCTCAATTATGTGTCAAAAATATAGCAGTACTCTTATGTCAATAGTTTGTAACCTCATTTAAATATGGTGTATTACCGATATGCTGAAAAATAGCAAGCACAGTTGATTAAGGAAATTATAAAACTTTCTCCTTGACATCTACCTGTTACCGTTTGACGGAAAGAATTATTAATATATAATAAATTGTTTTTTACTCAATAACATTATCACAAAAGAGTAACATGGTTTATTCGTAAACGCAGTACTTAAACTAATATTATTGAAAGTCTTCATGACTGGACTTCAAATCTCCAGCTGGATAACCAGTCTTTTACATATAAGATCTCAGTAGATAAGTTAAGCTCACAAAATCTGTAACAAGTGGTGTTCCACAAAGAAGTATTCTAGGACCTACTTTATTCTTAATTTATTAGTGATTATATAAAGAGCTTAACATTGAAAAAAATTCGAATTGTCAACGATTTAGTTTTATGTTACAAAATTTTTAATGATAAATTAATCACAAATTTATAAAAAATTTTTAAATTGACCTCATGCTCAGGTATTCGCGGTCATGCTTTTAAACTTTACAAACGCCGTTTTAATCTTAACAGCACAAACTTTTTTTTTTCCAATCGCGTTGTCAACTAATGAAATAATTTACCAGAAAATGTAATATCTGTGTCATCTGTATCAATGTTTAAAAACAGTTCAAATACATTGTTCTATATAACGCAATTTGGTCTTAAATATTTTCAATCTCAACACAGATTTATTAAATTGTTTTAATGTATACTGCAGTATGCAGTGAGTAGATTAGATTAGATTAGATTAAAATTTATGAGTGCATATATACTGCAGTGCACATATACTGCAGTGCACATTTACTGCAGTGCACATTTACTGCAGTATATGTGAGTATGAGTGGCCCTCGGATTCTTTAGTTGTTTTAAATAAACAAATACAATAATATTTGGTTGTCTAATTTTAAGGGAAGTGATGTTTTTTTTTCAATATTTTTCTCCAATGGATTTGATTCGCATTTTCTTTGAAGTGCTATGTTAATTTTAAATAAGCCAAGGCTATACTTTAAGTTTAATAAATTAGGCAGGGTATATGATGAAAGGGAGTCCGAATATAATTTTTTATATTTGAAACTTTTTCTTTCCTTATTTATAAATCAAAATGGAAGTTATTTAAAAAGATACGCAATCTTATATAGTAAAACTGGGGATGTCTATAAATATATTTTAATGTATAGCCGTTGTTACTAATTTTGCCTCCTAATGATAGTTGAACAATTTAACATGATTCAAAATTTAATCAGGGCGAATGTGAAAAGGGAAGTCTATTTTTTTTTGGTTAACTAATAAAAGAAAATATTTAAAAAATTTTATATAGCGAAATAAAATAAGGTCAATTTAAGTATCTAATTAGGTTATACATCTCAAAAGTTATTTTAACTTACGTAGATTATTTAAACTGTTTTTTTAAATATAACAATGTATTCAAGTTGAAAAACTTTAATTTGATTTGGTTGATAGGTCCGACGAGATTGATTTGATTGATACGTCCGACAACGTGCAGATATTCCTTAGACACGCCCATGTTATGTATAGGATTATTAAAGCGCATGAATATGTTTTTAATTTGCTTATAGTAGTATTATAAGCCTAGCTTAGTAAAAACTTAACCCATACACCTATAAAAACATAACCTTTAACTCTATAAGTTTGTCGTTAAAAGAAAGCTTGGTAACTATGAATGATTATATTGTTGCTATGCTTTTCAGATGTAAGCAGGATTGAGAAGTTTTTTTTTTCCAAAGGAATGGCCTTTATAAACTAAATTGAAAATTAAAAAATAAAATAAAAACGTTTTCAAAGGGGCAATATATACGTAACATGCTACCTATAAAGACCTATTTAGTTTCAGGTAAAGATGTTGCATGTGGAATTATAATATATTTTTTTTAAAACCATTGAAACTTGTGTCACGGAAGGAACCTATAGTCCTTCCGTGGTTTTTTATGTTTTAAGTTTTTAATGCCTATAACTAAAAATTTAGAATTCTACTAACAATCTTTTTCCTCAAAATTAAATAGATATTTATAGGTAGTTAATTAGGTAGTTTTGCCCCCCTTTAAACGTTTTTATTATTTTTTTAAATTTCTAATTTAGTTTTCAAAGGTCATTCCTTTTGAAAAACACGACTTTTGAATCCTGTCCATGTCCTTAAAAAGCATTACAACAATATAATTTTTATATAAAATTGAAATGTTTGTTTGGACCATAATTTTGGTACTTTTTATAGAAAAACTGTACTAAACGTCATAAATCATGCATGGTTGAATTAAAAACATTTTTGAATCGAGTGTAATAGCATCAAAAGATTATTTACTCAATTAAAGTAAAAAAAAAAATAATAATTATCGGAATAAAACATTTATAATTCAAAAATGCAGGGCATAAGGTTCTATTAAACAGTTTATTATTGAACCAATAGAATTCAAATAAAAAGTAGAAATTTTATTATTATTTATAAGGTGTATAAAATATCAAAAAAGTGCTCCAATTCCAGTGGCTAAAAAAAATCAAAATAGTTTTGTTGACTTTAATTAAATTACAAATTGACGAAATAAATGTAAGCGGTTTTTGTTGTATGAAACCATTAAATGAGAACTGCTAATTAAAGTCAAACACGGACAAAGGCAAGACAATGCAAAAATTAAAAAAGGTTAATTACATAAACTCAACAGGTCCTGCAAAAAGATCATAACGAATACTAATAATTATACAGAATTAATTCACACAAGGGTTACTACACATTTTAAACCTTAAAAAGGTTAATACAAAAGTTTGCTAAATCAAAACGAAAATTACTTTTCGTATTGATTTAGCTAATTTTTATAAATCTCAAGTTAACTGAATACAAACGAAAATTTAATGTTATTCATTACTCGTTATATTATTACCACGAAGTGGTCTTTAAACTTACCATAAACATCATTGAATTTATATAAATTGAATATAAATAAATTAGAATTGCATTCTTATCAAAAAGAATTAAAAAAAAAAAAAATTCACAAAACTTTTCATAGAAACCTAAGAACATAATCGGTTGGACCTTTAAGGACTAAACTATAGAAACAAACAAAGGAAACAATGTTTTGTTATATGTTAAAACAAGGCAATTTTTGTTGTTCAAATATCCGAATGCTTAATTTTTGTTGACCATTTCTAGTAACTTATATATTCGAACTTAAAACTTTATTTCTTCAAAACTTCAATTCAATTCCTAGAAGCAAAGTAACGAATTTATTTGCTTCCCTGCTTAAGGGTCACCCAGTTTTGAATGAAAATCCGAACCTAACCCTCATTTAAAAAATGGTTACTTAAATAAATCAGTTTAAAAGGAGAAAATTTTATGTCAACATTCAACCATGTCAGCATCTAGCAATGTCCTTAGTTGATCTCCATTTTCAGAGCTGCTGTCTGAATCACTGGATGAGGACGAACTAGAGCTAGAATAATCATCTTCATTAGAACTAGAACTAGAATGATCAGTTATATCTTCGTCTTCTCCATCATTATCTCCTACTGATTTCAAGAGTTTTTTACTTAAATACGTTAGATTTAAATCATCACTGACTGGGCGCTTCCTCTTTCCCGGATCAGATAAACACACAAATTTATTTTCTGCGCAGCTAGAGTTACTATCGTCATCAATTGACATCAACTCGTTTACTTCTTTATCCATTTCATCTATATCACTTTTAGATAAAGATGACAGAGGGTGGTTACTATTTACTAAATTTGTATTGTCTTTTGGCATTTCAAAACCTTCTTCCGCTAAAGGAGATAACTTTTTCTTACTATGAGCTTTTCCAAACGATTCAAAAGAGTTATGCTGAGGTGTAACTTGTCGAGACGATCCAGGCGTTCCATTTTCTACAACTGGAACGGGAAATATACTTTCTTCCGCCCATTCCCATCGCTCGCTACTGCACCAAAGCCAGTTCGGGTTTACCAAATTAATATCCGGCGATTTATATGCTTTATGAGCTTTATGAGTACCATGCCTGGCAGCCACTACATGTGTAGTACGCAGTCCGTCTTCTTCCTTACCTACAACTTCAGAAGTAACCCGAGCACCTAAACTGACAGCAGTTTTCCATGCTTTACTTTTCTCTAAAGGACAATTAGTAGGTATGACGCCTGTAAAGACTATGTTACAACCCTTTAATGTTTGTCTTCTTAACTCAGGTAAAATTACTCTTATGTCAGGATTCATAGTGCCAAATGTACAAAATTTAGTGATTTCTGTGTCTTTAGAAGCGGCACCTCCTTTAGCTTTTACAGCATCAAGCGTCGAATAAAAGGAATAGTGAACACGTTCAAGAATTTCATCCAGATAGAATAGGTAATCATCATTATCTGTACGATTTTCGACTCCATTCGCTAAAATTTAAAGCAAATTAATGGCAAATTAAAAGATTAAAAATTCAACAGATCATTTTAAAATGTAACAACAGTGATGTTAACAAGGCTGCGGATCATTAGCCTAAGGGCAAACCAATCAACTACAAGTTACTTTTAAAGCCATAACAAAGATGCAAATTATGTTAAAAGCTTATATATCATTTATATATATCTTCAGGAAAATAATATATATATATCATCAGAAAAAACATCAAGTAGCATGTCAAAAATAAACAGCATGGCAACCTTATGATTCCCTAGAGCATCAAAACCTTGAAAACCAAATCTCCGATTGTTCTTTATACATTCCGTAAAGGAAAAACAATAACTAACACAAAGAACCAAATAAGAAATTAGTATACATATGATCTAATTAATAAACTGATATTGCCCAGTTGACTAATTCGTTATCACTTAATTAACTAATCAAAACCAGCCAAATAAATCAAAGGTTTATAAAAATAAATTACTAGAATGAAGTAGCATTATGACATGAGCAACGATTTACTATTACAACAAAGTATCAACCTCAAAAGCTACAAGTCGCTGTCGGTAAGCCTAAAGGTAAGATAAAGGCCAAGTACTAACATCACTGTGTCAAGAAATACTAATTCAACAATTTAACCATTTATAAAGACACGAAAACACCCATTTAGTTTACAAAAATGAAAAGATATCTCACAAGATTTTAGAAGTTTGATAGCACTAACCTTTATCAAGAGTGTTTTCGTTTGAAGAAGATTCTATAAGAGATATTTTTTTATTAGAATCATTTTTTTCACTACTAACACTACAAAGAGCAGGATCTTCATCTGCAGTAGTATTAGCAGTTTTTATTTTCTCATCACAAGAATCTTTCATTTGATTATCATCTGCAACTTTCTTCTCACAAACCTCACTATTTACAGAGAGACCTGGAGATTGAAAGGGGTCGTTTATATCATCACCTCCTTTAAAAAACTTATACGGTTTTACTGTAATAAGATTAGGAGCATAGTTCCAAACATCCTCACGGTCATCGATAATACAAACCATGTGATCTCCACAAGGAAATAGAGCTCTATAAAAATAAAATTATACTTGAAAAGAATGAAACACAAACTTAAAATTCAGAATAATATGCATATAGATTATTTTTTCATTATAAAATAAATAAGATAAATATTACTTGAGATCATGAAACTTTGAAAAACTGTTGATAAACTCATCACGAGAACGTATTCTATGAGCAAAAAACTTGCCGTCTGGATCAAGACACTTAGCAACTGTATGTGCATACAGACGAGAACCCATTGTAAATATATGTAATTCATAAAACTTCGAGATACTTTCTAAAAACTTTCTTGCTCCTGGTCTTAATTTTGTGTGATACTCGTATTGGTGACCAGGCAACTTGAAAGAAAACACATCCTGAAGTACAATACAGTATAAGTAAAAAGGAAAAAAATATTACCTAAATCAAAAGAATTACTAGCAACAAATTACAGAGCACTGCAATTAGGAACGTATGAATTTAAGTAACGAACTATCTACTTGCCTTCGTATTTTTTGGAGTAGGTTCAACTGTGGTATGAATTAGTGTCATATCAAGATCTACTACAAGAACTAACTTCCGTGCGCGCAATAACTGCTGTTCGTCATACTTGGCCAACTTTTCAGCTTCCTATATTTAAAAAAAACTTGGAAATCCTTTCAAATAAAACTCACCTCATTTTTTATATATTAGTTTTTTTTTAATATTAGCCTTAATAAATCATTATAGGTAACCATTAAAAAAGGTCTGCTTTAATCTCTTGGTTAGACGATTAATACTGTGCTTTAACAAAATAACATTATGAACACAGAAAAAGAAATAATGTAAGCTTCATATCACAGTGAGTAAATAAAATTTTTTACACAAAATAACTTAACAAAAATCTTTCTTTTTGTGTTTAAGTACATAACTATATAAGGGGGAGAATAGGGTAATATCTTTATTTATTTTGCTATATTAGGCTATATTATGTAAAATTTTTATATTGTAACTTATATACATTTAATTTCCGTTACACTAGTTAAATCTAATTTTTATTATCTCGAACTGCTCTATAGCCCTTGAAAGTAACAACAATTTTTTTAAATTTCATTCTCAGTTGAACATTCGTTTAGTCGAATCGTTTTCCTTGGTACCTTGAAGGTTCAAATTACTTAAATTTTACTTTAATTCATTATAAGTTATTTATCTAATATAGATTATACCCTAATACTTTTAAAGCCTATTACAATATATTATTTTTGTTAAAAAAATTTAACAAATATTTTTTGTTAAATATCAATAGATAAAAGTACAATATTAACACGTGACAGGATACAAATTAAAATATATCTGTTATTAAAAAAACTTAATAACTTAAATCTGTAATTGCAAAATTAAATTATTTTATGCACAACAGCATCATGTTAAGTGATAGTTTTTATTATTAAAGGCTTTTATTTTCCAAATGCTGTTATGTAATCTATAACATAAACATTTATAAAATTAATAAATTAAATTTGAAATTAATTAAATTTGAAAAAAGCAACAAGAAAAAAAAAAAAAAAAAAAAAAAAAAATTGACTAAAAACTAATATAAATAAAAAAAAGCAACAACAAAATATTTATAATTAAATTTACCTCAACACTGACTTTAAGTTCAAGAATATTGTGAACAACTGGAACAGAAGCAGTGGTCGCTTCAACTAGATTACCCGGTATTCCCGCTTCTCTAAGTAAAAAATATAATACACATCAGTAAGATAAATGTATATTTTCTCAGTATTAATTTAAATTTATTTTACTTTCTAAAAATACACAGTCTACATTTAAAATAGCATAATGAATACCAAAATATTAACTTTATTCCGAAAAATCTCTATATAAATAAATAAATATATATTATTTCCTGTAAAAAAAAAACAGATGAACTTTGGTTTAAAAGTAACTGGTTTTATTTAAATTTTGAAAAAGGTCACCCGCCATGACCCTTGATTACACAATGGCTCACTTATATCAGTGAGTTTTTATTTCTTCTAAAGTATATCAACCTGGCACTCAAAAGAACCCAAACTTTACAGTGATTTCAAAATTCATAATCTTTTCTACTAAAACTTTAAAAGAAATATATTGCAAACAAAATGTTATAAAAACAACCATTTTAATTTTTAGTTAAAAATTGTTGTTTTTGCGTAAATAAAATTTAAGCACTTTATTATTTGAAACCATTATTGTTTCTGAAATCTCTATGAAATTCTGGTTCTTTTGACACCCAGGTTGATATACTTTAAAAAAAAAAAAATTCACTGATATATGGGAGCCAGTGTGTAATCAAGGGTCATGGTGTGATTACACCCTTGATTACACACAAACATGTATATAAATATATCATATAAACATGTTTACATATATATATAACATATAAACATGTTTACATATATATATATATATATATATATATATATATATATATATATATATATATATATATATATATATATATATATATATAATATATATATATATATATATATATATATATATATATATATATATATATATATATATATATATATATATATATGTAAACATGTATGTATGTATACAGGGTGTTAGTTAGGAATATTATTTTTTGCAGCGTTTTTGCTATAAAATAATGAGAATTTTTATTAATATTGTCCTATAACTCCAAAGATCAACTTTATATATATATATATATATATATATATATATATATATATATATATATATATATATATATATATATATATATATATATATATATATATATATATATATATATATAGTAATATATTTGAGCTGTGAACGATAATTCGGTGAGTGTACCAAGACACTCAGTGCACTTAGACAGCTATACGATTATTCAGCATGGTTATATTATTTAAAATCCACGTCATGTTAAGCTTTAAGAGTTAACTGAAATAGAATTAACAACATCAGTAGATAGTCAATTAAATATATATATATATACATATTTATATGTGTATATATATATATATATATATATAATATATATATATATATATATATATATATATATATATATATATATATATATATTTATATATATATATATATATATTTATATATATATATATATATATTTATATACTGAATCCTCTACTTTACATCTTCTTTGATTATTTTTTACAGACCTCTCATGGAAACTATAACTACAATCAATTGCTGAGTTACCATCTGCTAAAGTTGCCTCTCTTTATCGTGTTCACCATGTTCTCACGGCCGAGTCTATTCTCTACTTCTATAAAACTCTTATTTGTCCCTGTATGGAAAACTGATGTCATATTTTATTTATTTTAAATATGCCCTTTCTTTTCTTGACAGTCCTAAGGCATTTTGGTTGGATGTTTGGATTTTGTTGAAAATCTAGTTGGACCTGGATTTTGTTGAAAATCTAGTTGGACCTGCTCTTTCAGCCAAAACTTGAGCTGTTATCCTATACGAGCAGCCATAGTGCAGTGGTTAGCACTTGCGTCAGAAACTAGAGATTCATGGATCAACTTCACCTCTGAGTAAGTTTTATAACATTAGTAAAAGAGGTGTGAACTTCCTTTTAAATGCTCTTCTGCAGCGCTCCATGGTAAGACCATAAAAACTTCTTGAGGCACCTAAAATTAAAAAAAATCGTCGCAAGGTTGCTTCTATTTCTCATTTCTAAAAAAAACTCATATCATAGTTGCTGCACAAATGAGTCATTTGACTCATTATTAGGCAAAGTTGCATCCGTTTAATGTATGTCTTTTCATGCTCTAAAAACTTTTACTTACCCAGTTTCCTTCTCTATGTCTCCTGTCAACCATTTTCTTTCCCTTCTACAATATTCTTTGTTTTCAGATAACTTCAAACTTAAATATTGTTGGCTTGTAGCCTTGTTAAAGTGAATTAGTTAAAAAAAAATCTTTCAGAGAAAATATATGTGTGTGCGTGCACACATTTATGTATCAATGCTTGTATGTATGAATGTATGTATGTATGTTTATATGTTTGTATGCATATATATATATATATATATATATATATATATATATATATATATATATATATATATATATATATATATATATATATATATATATATATATATATACACACACACACACATATATAAAAGTGACAACTGTGCTGCATCACTCAATTTGTTAGATTTTGCCAAAGCTTTTGATTGTGTATCACATTTTCTGCTTTATCACAAACTGGCTAGCTATGGTTTTGGCAAAAAATATTCCTGCCTGACATAGATTTTTTTGAAAATAGGAAAAAGCGGGTTTCATAGACTTTCTTGAAAATAGGAAACAGCGGGTTGTTCTGGAAAACTTCTCTTCCGAATGGAAGGATGTCATGAGTGGTGTACCTCAAGGATCAGTCATAGGACCTCTTTTTTTTTTTTTATCTTTATCAACGACATGCCAAATTTAGTTAAAAATAATTGCTAACTATTTGCTGATGATAGCCAGTTGGTTGCAAAAATAAAAAGTTACAGATTTAGCGTTAGTCCATAATGATATTGATATGTTATGTAATTGGTCAAGACTTTGGTGCCATGCATTAAAGTCCCAACTTAGCATAAATAAATGCACCAACTTTGCATAAATGAATGCAAGGTTCTTGCATTTATGCTAAGTTACATGGTGGTTCCACAGACATAAATATCATCTTAACGATGTTAGATAAAAATGGGAGTCACACTCCTATTGAAGATGTATCTGTTGAAAGAATATTGGGTGTTCTGATAAATAAAAAACTGAAATGATGTGATGCCAATTATAAAGCTAAATCTAAACTCGAGATACTCAAAAAAACTTTTAAAAAATGGAATTCAAGTATGTTCGTGAAGCTCTATACAGCATTTGTAAGACCGATATTGGAGTACTACACACCAATTTGGTGCCCTTTTCTTCTTAAAGACATTAAAAAGTTAGAATCAGTCCAACCTAGAGCTACCAAACTCGTTCCACAATTGCCCAGCTTAAAATACGAGAAATGATTAGCATATCTTGGTCTCAGCTCATTAGTTGAACATAGAACAAGAGGAGATGTAATCCAATTTTTTAAAATTTGTAAAAAATTGAACATTGTTAACTGGCAACAGCAGATTAACCGAGCAAGTGCTCTACTATGTGATGGACCTGCAAGTCATCTTTGTGGCGTCAAGCATAAAATTGAACGAGAATTATCCAAAAACTCTCAAAGACATAACTTCTTTAAAAACTGAGTTGTGTTATCATAACACTTTGCCTGCTTCGGTAGTTGCTGCAAATTAAGTTGATCGTTTCAAAAACAATTACGACAAATGGAATTGTTCTATCTCATGTTGGGTCTCGTTAGACACTTGGCTGATAGAAGTCAAACTTCTACTGTAGAAAAAACTATAATAAAATTAATAATAATAATAATAATAATAATAATAATAATATATATGTATACATATATATATTATATATATATATTGTATATATATTATACATATATACATATATATATATATATATATATATATATATATATATATATATATATATATATATATATATACATATATAAGTTGACACTCATTTAAAATACTTTAATGTAACTTTGACATTTAAACTAAAAAAAAAAAAAAAACAGAAAAAAGTAAAAAATAAAAGTACTGAGAAAAAAGTAGTCAACATAAATACTGAAGTCTTAAAAAATTTCATATATTTATAGACCAAAAAGGTTTATGCATTGGAAGGTAGTAAAATTGTAAAAGATTATAAAAAATAAAAAAATGTTTTTCATTTTTTTTTAAAAAAAAGTCTTAATTTAGGTGTTCATTTGAAAAATTAAATTCTACAAAATATATTAGTAATATGTAGACTTAAACCAGAAGTAATAAAACTCACAAAATTATATATATACATATATACATAAAAAGTTACTTTCTTAAATCTGCTCCACAATCACAGCACATATCTTTCATTAGAGTACTGTGTTCACAATCTTGCTGTATGAGGCGAGCTACCACTTGTCTGTAAATATTTCACATATATCATATTATAAATTGAGCAACTATTGCATACAATCAAAAATAAAAGTAGTACATTAAATTATGTAAACAAATGTTGTTTAAATGAAACTAATGTAAATTTGAAAATGTGTATAAATGTGTTAAAGCGAATCATTTAAATTTGCTTTGAAAACTATTGCCAAGTAATACTCATAATTTGGAGCACTTGAATTGTAGATTGCTTTTTTTAATTACTTGGTTAAAATATGATAATTTCAGAAGTTTTAAAATAGATAAGATCTATTCATTTAGAGGTAATTTAAATTATTTCATGTATCACTAGTTAAAACTACTAAACTATTATGATTTTTTTTAATGCAAACAAAAACATTAGTTTAATAATCACAAAACTAAATCATAGATTTTACACTTATACTAATTTTTTTATGTAAACTATATTTAAATGCTTCATAAAACGTACCCACGTGAAACATCTTCGTTAGGTTTAACAGAAAGGTCAACTACTTTTCCGTTGAATTTTGCTTTTAGCTTTCTTTGAACTATAAAGCTCGAAGAGTCAGGAATTTTCTCTGTAAAAACGTATGTTGCAATAATATTATCTTTTTTAACAGAATCATTTGGTTTGACGTGCCATTTTAATATTTTTGACTTAGATATACAAGAAAGTACAAGATCTCTTGTCGCCATTTTTAAATTTTTTTAAAGGATTTATCTACAACTGACTATTGTTACGGAGATAAAAAAAATGTCTGTAGAAAAACATCAATTATGGTTTCTTAAAGTTATTCCGGTAAAAGCGACGACGGTTAGTTTGGCTTGTCGGAACAATAATGAAGAAATGATTGGAAGTTTTCTTAAATATAACGTCGTAACGTAATATTTAAGAAAGAAAGTGTTATACATTTTCTTATCTAAATATTACTTTAGATATAGAACACAGAAGATATTTTTTGAGGAAAGGAGGGGGGAGGAGGAAGACCACGTGACCCCCTCCCCATGTCGTCGGCTCTGTAAATATCTTAACTCAAAATGTATATATTGTAAATAATTTATTATAAATATGACGAGAATAGTTGTAAAAAATATATATATATATATATATATATATATACATATATATATATATATATATATATATATATATATATATATATATATATATATATATATATATATATATATATATATATATATATATATATATATATATATATATATATATATATATATATATATATATATATATATATATATATATATATATATATATATATATATATATATGTATGTATGTATACATATACATATAGTTTTGTTTACTTTATTTTAGTGGTCAATAGTTTAAAATATTTATTACAACCCGTAAAAAAATGTATAAACTTTTGAAAAATCATAAACGTTCATTATGTTTAAGTTATCAAAGTAGATGTGCTGCATCAGGCACCTCTAAAATAATTTAAGATAATCGTGTGCATCTGCAACACAAGTATTATACTTTAAGAACATAATAAAGTACTAGAAATATATGTGAAGAGAGTTTATTTACGGTTATTGTTTCAAATTTCTTATTTAACTGATTTTAATTGCTGTGCAAGTTGTTCATAATGACCATGCATAATATACTTTAACGGCGATGGACAAATCGAATGGTACGTGAAAGTTTATTTCCTCAATTTCTCGTATGAACTTAAACATCAGAATTAAATCACCTCCTTTTTTTTTTGTATTTGTGTTGTAAGACCTAACATGACTTTTTTGTTGTTCGGCGGTGCGATTATTAAACTCACAAATGGTTTTGTAGCACGGTTTTGAATTTTTTTTAGCGCCTCTCTGTATACGTTGGTACGGTGAACACGCTTGAAAAGCTCTAATTTTTTTTAGCCTACCTAAGGAGCGTTTAGCGTACACCGCAGCTGCTGAAACTCGAGTATTAAGTTTAAAATCATATCAGATAAAAACTCCAAGATATCTCTTTAAACGAGTAATTTTGATTGCAAGTGGCAGACCGACTGGTCCCGGCATGAAATAATCTGACTGAAATAGTCTAAAATAGGCTAAAAGTAACTGAAATAATCTAAAATAGGCGGACTAGTCCTGGCATGAAATAGTTGTTTTGATACTTTTTTCCCTCGACCAGTATGCATGACAATTCACTGTTTAGTATTGAAGGTTATGAGCCAGTAATGTGACTATTCAATGGGTTTATCTAAGGTTGCTTGCAGGCGCTCCGCGTCCCGGTCGAATAGTATGACGACAATAATTTTGCTGTTATCAGCGTAGAGCTTGATCTAATGTTCCAATTTGTCTGGATGATCATTAATGTACAGTACAAACAGTAATGGATCTAAGACTTAACCGTGCGGAACGCCGCTAATAATGTTTTTCTAATTTAATGTACGCTTTCCAATTACAACTCTCTGCTGCCTTTCTGAAAGTCATGCTTTATTCCATGCGTGAAGCACATTTATGTTTCCGCAGTTTTTAAATTTATTTGGAGAAGCTTATTGTTTGATTGAACTCTGTCAAAGGCAGTTGCCAGATTCGTGAAGGTACATAGCTTTTGTTAAAAGATCAAGTGTTTCCAGAATGTTTGTCAAGCACGACTGTTTGAAAACAATGTCGGATTGGTTTTTTGAAATGAGATCGTTTATAATACAATGATTTGTAATCTGGTCTTGAGCGAAACGCTCCTTAACTTTATAAAGGATATTCTTTCTTTTGACAAAAAACATGGTAACATTATCTCATTGAGAGGCCACTAAATAAAGTTTTTCAGTCGAGCGATTCTATGTATTTTGCTATTTCCTTGTATTGTGCTTTATTCCATAAATAGCATGAACGCGTAATGATATTTTTTTTCTATATATTTTTACAACTACATAGTTTTAACAATATATATCAGGTAACCAATAAAGTTCGTGCGGTTTTTTCTAATTCCTATTTACTAACAAAAGTATTATAAGATAATGGTTGTGGTAGAGAGATAATTTTGCTTATAAATCGAAACTGGCTTCAAGGAGAACCAATCAGTGTGTTTCATAAGTTTTATTAGTGCGATTTAAATTTAGAATTCTTAAGTTGAGTATGGCTGTGTCAAATGCGATAATTCGCGCCTGTTTACTTTATGAGTTTAAACTTGGCACCAAAGCTGCAGAAGCTTGTCGTAAGATATGCGCTGCTTTTGGGGAAGGTACCATAGCAGAACGGATGTGTCAAAAGTGGTTTAAAAAGTTTTCTTCTGGAAATGAAAACCTTGAAGATGAACTAAGATCTGAAAGACCATCCACAGTCAACAACGAGGAAATAAAGCTGGCAATCGAGCAGGATTCCAGCAAAACATGTCAGGACCTTACCTTAAGATTTAATGTGAGTGATGAAACTATTTGTTCACATTTGAAACAACTTGGAAAACTTTGGAATTTGAGAAAATAGATACCTTATAAGTTAAGTGAAACAAACAAGCTACAGCGCTTAACCATCTGTTCTTCATTGCTTTCCCGCCACAATTTAGTGCCATTTTTTTAACCAGATGTTGACATGCGACGAAAAATGGATTATGTACTGCAACAAAAAACAAACATATCATTGGTTAGCCAGTAGCGATCCAGTACCAATGACTCCTAAACCACGAATTCACCAGCAAAAGGTTTAAGTGTGTGTTTGGTGGATTACAGCAGGTATCGTTCACTATGAGTTGCTACCAAGTGGAAAAATCATTAGTGTTGAGATATACTCAGCCAAATTGAACAGAGTTTCGGTTGCTCTTCACCAAAAACAAGCAACTCTGGCGAACAGAAAAGGTGTTGTATTCCACTAGGACAAAGCCAGACCAGACGTAAAGGATTTTCAAACAAAATTTGCATATTCTGTACTTCTTGCGATTGAAAATATAGTTTTTATTCATTACCAGAAATAAACATAGATAAAAAAGGTAAAAAAAAAAATAATATAAATTATAGAGCAATAATTACATTCCGCAAAATTGGTAAGGGACATAAAGCAATGAAATATTTACGACTATGATGAACATACCACCACCTATGACTAGTAATTCACATGATGCTATAAGCTTGAATCTTCACAAGACTTACACTGTAAGTGCACTTTTTAGAATGGAAAATGCTGCTAAAGAGATACACACTCAATTTTCCCTAGAAAACTAATTTTTGACTGATTGCCAAATTGGCATTGATGGTACATGGTAAAAGAAAGGGCACAGCTCTCTTAATGGAGTTATTTTGGGATTCGCAAGGTTCAACAAAAAGGTATTAGACTACCATGTTCTTTCTAAATTTTCTTAAAGCTGTACTATGTGGGAAAACAAAAAGGGTTCAATTGAGTTTGAAATTTGGAAAACCAACCATGTTTGCCAAAATAATCATCATAAATTATCTGGCGCGATGGAGGCTGCTGGGTCAGTTGCCTCATTTTGTACGTCAGTAGAAAAACATAATTTAAGATACTTACATTACATTGGTGATGGAGATACTAATTCCTTTTTTAAAAGTTTTGGAGGCTAAACCTTAAAGGGAAGAATTGATTTTAATTAAGCTTGAGTGCGTGAGCCATGTATAAAAAAAAAAGGGACAAGATTACGGAAACTTCATAATGATTACAGGGGAAAAAAATAGATGACAATAAACCTATTTCTGGAAAATTAAGATTAACTAATAAAATAATAAACAAGATGCAAAATTGCTATGACATTGCTGTTTGTCAAAATGCTTAGATGATACAACACAAAATCCTAATAAAGCTTTTAACCAAATTTTATAGAAAAAATGTCCAAAGAAATGTCCAATTTTGTTTCAAAGCAAACATTAGAAATATGTGTTGTATCAGCTGTTTTTAACATATAATGATGGTTTATTAGGATATGAAATGTTATTTAAACATCTTAATATTTTTTTGGAAAATATAGCATTGCAGGGGTTCATAATATAGACCTTTCAAGGGTAAAAAAATATGAACAAAAAAAGTCTCAAGTAACTCAGAGTAAAAAACTAAGAGCTCGTAGAAAAGGATTCATAGACATGGAAAAAGAAATTGATGATTCAGAATCATATTCTGCAGGAAAATATTAAATACTAAGTTTCTTTTGCATTTTTCTTCGTTCTTTATTTTTTAGAATGTAATAATCTTAGAACAACTATATCTTAAGATTCGCATATAGTTCAAATTTTAAGGATTTGTTTATTATACTTTAAGGTAAGTGCCTGAAGCAGGATCTTTAGAATAAATATTTTTTTATTGATAAAATATGTATTTCTCTATTATTTTTTAGTCAAATTTTTGGACTATTTACTAATTTAGGAGTCGTTATAAAAGGACATAAAAATATAGAATGATCCTGCTTCAGGCACTTTATCAATGTATTTTCTTTAATTTGTAATTTTTTTAGCTTGATAGCATGAGTACTTTTTAAGCATCAGTTGTTTTAAATAACTCTTTTTTTGTATTTTTATTCTGATTCAGCATTCTAAAATTACTTTTTTTAATTTTTAAAAAAGTTTTTATTGTTACAGTAACATTTATTGTTCAGATTTTAATAAAAAAAAAATTAAATCATGAATATTAAATATTTTAGTTTTTTTACTTTAACATCCACCTTAAACATAAATAAAATGTTATGGTAGATATTTAGTTTATATACGTTTAGAGCATTTATTTCCTTGAGTAAAGGCTCAGCACTTTCGTACCTATCTTTTTCGTACCTAACTTGTTATGCT